GTTGGAAGGTGAACCTTCGCCCCAGTCAGGTCCTGAGCACTCTGGAGCAGGTTTTCATCAAGGATCTCTCTGTACTTTGCTCCGTTCATCTTTGCCTCGATCCTGACTAGTCTCCCAGTCCCTGCCGCAGAAAAACATCCCCACAGCATGATGCTGCCACCATCATGCTTCACCGTAGGGATGGTGCCAGGTTTCCTCCAGACGTGATGCTTGGCATTCAGGCTAAGAGTTCAATCTTGGTTCATCAGACCAGAGAATCTTGTTTCTCATTGTCTGAGAGTCTTTAGGTGCCTTTTGGCAAACTCCAAGTGGGCTGTCATGTGCCTTTTACTGAGGAGCGGCTTCCGTCTGGCCACTCTACCATAAAGGCCTGATTGGTGGAGTGCTGCAGAGATGGTTGTCATTCTGGAAGGTTCTCCCATCTCCACAGAGGAACTCTAGAGCTCTGTCAGACAGACCATCGGGTTCTTGGTCATCTCCCTGACCAAGGCCCTTCTCCCCCGATTGTTCAGTTTGGCCGGGCGGCCAGCTTTAGGAAGAGTCTTGGTGGTTCCAAACTTCTTCCATTTAAGAATGATGGAGGCCACTGTGTTCTTGGGGACCTTCAATGCTGCATAAATCTTTTAGTACCCTTCCTCAGATCTGTGCCTCAACACAATCCTGTCTCGGAGCTCTATGGACTATTCCTTCGACCTCATGGCTTGGTTTTTGCTCTGACATGCACTGTCAACTGTGGGACCTTATATAGACAGGTGTGTGCCTTTCCAAATCATGTCCAATCAATTGAATGTACCACAGGTGGACTTCAATCAAGTTGTAGAAACATCTCAAGGATGATCAATGGAAACAGGATGCACCTGAGCTCAATTTCGAATACCTATTTAAATAAAGTATATATTTTTTTATTATAATTTTTGCAAACATGTCTAAAAACCTGTTTTCACTTTGTCATTATGGAGTAGTGTGTAGACTGCTGAGGATTTGTATTTATTTAATCAATTTTAGAATAAGGCTGGAACGTAACAAAATGTGGAAAAAGTCAAGGGGTCTGAATACTTTCTGAATTAACTGTACACCCACACACACACACACACACACACACACTACTACTAGGCTGTAATTGGATATCAGAGTAACTCACCAGCATTACGACCAGGAATACAACTTCCCCGAATTGGATTGCTCGTACCTACCAGGGCAATTGAACTTATCCCAGAGGCTGCTCCAAGATGCCGCCAGGGGAGAAGAGGTATTCGGAGTGGACTTCTAGTCTGACTCAGGAGTCGTGCACAGCATCCACCGCTTCAGAGTATATTACTCGCTAATGTTCAGTCCCTGGACAATAAAGTAGATGAGCTCAGGGTGAAGATCTCCTTCCAGAGAGACATCAGGGACTGTAACATCCTCTGTTTCACGGAATCATGGCACTCTGTCCCAGCCAGCTGGGTTCTCAGTACATCGTGCAGACAGGAATAAAGAACTCTCCGGGAAGAAGAAAGGCGGTGGTGTATGTTTCATGATTAATTACTCATGGTGGGATTGTGATAATGTACAGAAACTCAAATCCTTTTGTTCACTCGACCTAGAATACCCCACAATCAAATGCCGACCGTATTAAGTCCCGAGAGAATTCTCTTTGGTTATAGTCCCAGCCGTGTATACTACACTGGACTTTATGCAAACTGGAAAACCACATATCCTGAGGCTGTTTACTGTAGCTGGGGCTTTTAAGAAAGAACATTTGAGGAAAATGCTACCGAAGTTCTAACACCACATTGACTGTAGTACTTGCTCTGGGAAAACACTCGACCACTGCTACTCGCCCTTCCGGGATGCCTACAAGGCCCTCCCCCACCCTCCTTTCGGCAAATCAGATCACGACTCCATTTTGCTCCTCCCTTCCTATAGGCAGAAACTCAAAACAGGAAGTACCCGTGCTAAGGTCTATTCAACGCTGGTCTGACCAATCGGAATCCATGCTTCAAGATTGTTTTGATCACGCGGACTGGGATATGTTCCGGGCAGCCTCTGAGAATAACATTGGCGTATATACAGACACGGTGACAGTTCATCAGGAAGTGTATAGGGGATGTTGTTCCCACGGTGACTATTAAAACATACCCAAACCAAAAACTGAAAGCGCGAACCACCACATTTAGTCATGGCAAGGTGACTGGGAATATGGGAATATGGTCGAAGACAAACAGTGTAGTTATTCCCTCCGTAGGTCAATCAAACAGGCAAAACATCAGTACAGAGACAAAGTGGAGTCGCAATTCAGCGGCTCAGACACAAGACGTTTGTGGCAGGGCCTCCAGACAATCAGGGATTACAAAGGGTAAACCAGACACGTTGCGGACACCAATGTCTTGCTACTGGGCAAGCTGAACACCTTCTTCGCCCACAATGAGGATAACAAAGCGGCCTGCTCCCAAGGAGTGTGGGCTCTCGTTCTCCGTGGCCGACGTAAGACATTTCAGCCTGTTAACCCTCGCAAGGCTGCCGGCCCAGACAGCATCCCTAGCCACGTCCTCAGAGCATCTAGCTGGAGTGTTAACTGACATTTTCAATCTCTCCCTATCACAGTCTGCTGTCCCCACTTTCTTCAAGATGTCCACCATTGTTCCTGTACCCAAGAAAGCAAAGGTAACTGAACTAAATGACTATCGCCCCGTAGCACTCACCTCTGTCATCATGAAGTGCTTTGAGAGACTAGTCAAGGATCATATCACCTCTACCTTACCTGACACACTTCAATTTGCTTACCACCCCAATAGATCCACAGACGATGCAATCGCCATTGCACTGCCCTATCCCATCAGGACAAGATGAATACCCATGTAAGACTGCTGTTTATTGACTATAGCTCAGCCTTCACTACCCTCTAAGCTCACCATTAAGCTCGCGGCCCTGGGTCTGAACCCCGCCCTGTGCAACTGGGTCCTGGACTTCCTGACGGGCCGCCCACAGGTGGTGAATTTAGGAAACAACACCTCCACTTCACTGATCCTCAACAATGATTACCAACAATGACGAGACAGCCTAAAGGGAGAAGGTGAGGGCTCTGGGAGTGTGGGGCCAGGAAAATAACCTCTCACTCAACGTCAACAAAATGAAGGAGCTGATCGTGGACTTCAGGAAACAGCAGGGGGAGCACGCCTCTATCCACATCGACGGGACAGCAGTGGAGAAGGTGGAAAGCTTCAAGTTCCTCGGCATACACATCACCGACAAACTGAAATGGTCCACTCACGCAGACAATGTGGTGAAGAAGGCGCAACAGAGCCTCTTCAACCTCAGGAGGCTGAAGAAATTTGCTTGGTCCCTAAGACCCTCACAAACTTTTACAGATGCACAATTGAGAGCATCCTGTCGGGCTGGATCACCACCTGGTACGGCAACTGCACCGCCCACAACCACAGGGCTCTCCAGAGGGTGGTGCGGTCTACCGAACGCATTACCGGGGGCAAACTACCCACCCTCCAGGACACCTACAGCACCCGATGTCACAGGAAGGCCAAAAAGATCATCAAGGACATCAACCACCCGAGCCACGGCCTGTTCACCCCGTTATCATCCAGAAGGCAAGGTCAGTACAGGTGCATCAAAGCTGGGACCGAGAGACTGAAAAACAGCTTCTATCTCAAGGCCATCAGACTGTTAAATAGCCATCACTAGCCGGCTACCACCTGGTTACATCTCAAGGCCATCAGACTGTTAAATAGCCATCACTAGCCGGCTACCACCTGGTTACATCTCAAGGCCATCAGACTGTTAAATAGCCATCACTAGCCAGCTACCACCCGGTTACATCTCAAGGCCATCAGACTGTTAAATAGCCATCACTAGCCGGCTACCACCCGGTTACTCAACCCTGCACCTTAGAGGCAGCTGCCCTATATACATAGACATGAAATCTAGTCACTTTAATAATGTTTACATACTGCTTTACTCATCTCATATGTATATACTGTATTATATTCTACTGTATTTTAGTCAATGCCACTCCAACATTGCTCAATCTAATATTTATAAATGTTTTAATTACATTCTTTTACTATTAAATGTGTGTATTGTTGTGAATTGTTAGATACTACTGCACTGTTGGAGCTAGGAACACAAGCATTTTGCTACACCCACAATAACATCTGCTAAATATGTGTATGTGACCAATAAAATGTGATTTGATTTTGATTTTATTTAAACAGTTAAAGATCAAGATATATACACACTACTACAGTTAAAGGCATAAACAGAGAATAAAACCAAAAACAAAATAAATCAACGTTTTATCAAATCAACTCACTGCAAACAGTCCCAAAACAGTTATGATAGAAGTAGTCTTGCACAGTTTCAAATTAATTCAATAAGAAATATATAGAAAGAAACATTGATTAGGAGGCAATCTGTTAAATCAATCCAGAGAAGTTTATTGTTCAAGTGATTGTTTCTTTATGTTGATCATGTATAAACCATCAGGATAGGAGTTGTTTTCCAGTTAAATACGGATCCATTTCAAACTGCATGAACCCTCCCTAGTTTCTCAGTTTGACAAGGTGAATTCACAGGACGCTAAACCTACTTAATGTGATAAGGGTTCATGCAGTTTGGGTTAGTACCAAGTGGAAGGGAGCGATTTGGCACCAGCTATAAAAGAGTTTAATCCTGGAACAGCCGTCCCCACAGTCCTCTGTCTCGATCATTATGTATGATGCAATCCACCACTTAATTGGTGTTCTAAATGTATGCTTATGACACACTGCACTATACCCCCTGCTGAAACCAACCCAACCCCTTTCAGCTTCAGGTACGTGCTGTATCATATGGAGAGTTACATTAAGCATACATACATTAACAGTACATATGTACATTCACATATAACATGAGAGTACCAAAGACGAGCATCAGGATAAACTTCAACTGCTTTAGGATCATCTTGAAGCTTTACAAGATCCATAACCTCCACCCATCAGGGTGGGTCTAGTTCATCAGGGGTGGGTCTAGTTCATCAGGGGTCGGTCTAGTTTCATCAGGGGTGGGTCTAGTTTCATCAGGGGTGGGTCTAGTTTCATCAGGGGTCGGTCTAGTTTCATCAGGGGTCGGTCTAGTTTCATCAGGGGTCGGTCTAGTTTCATCAGGGGTGGGTCTAGTTTCATCAGGGGTCGGTCTAGTTTCATCAGGGGTCGGTCTAGTTCATCAGGGGTGGGTCTAGTTCAGAGTGCTGCTGTGTTTTAAGACCCTCCATGTTGTTCCACTGATCTTTGATAACTTCCACCTACTTAGGCACTTTCCTTAAACAGTCCTGTAGCGCTGACACAACCTCTTGTAATATAACATCTCTGTTCTCCTTGGTGACCTGAGCGAGAGCCAGAGCGAGAGAGAGAGGGGGAAATGGGGAGAGAGAGAGATGGGGAGAAACACACAGACCAAAGATCTTTAAGAGATACAGTGAGGGAAAAAAGTATTTGATCCCCTGCTGATTTTGTACATTTGCCCTCTGACAAAGAAATTATCAGTCTATAATTTTAAATGGTAGGTTTATTTGAACAGTGAGAGACAGAATAACAACAACAAAATCCAGAAAAACGCATGTCAAAAATGTTATAAATTGATTTGCATTTTAATGAGGGAAATAAGTATTTGACCCCCTCTCAATCAGAAAGATTTCTGGCTCCCAGGTGTCTTTTATACAGGTAACGAGCTGAGATTAGGAGCACACTCTTAAAGGGAGTGCTCCTAATCTCAGTTTGTTACCTTTATATAAAAGACACCTGTCCACAGAAGCAATCAATCAATCAGATCCCAAACTCTCCACCGTGGCCAAGACCAAAGAGCTCTCCAAGGATGTCAGGGACAAGATTGTAGACCTACACAAGGCTGGAATGGGCTACAAGACCATCACCAAGCAGCTTGGTGAGAAGGTGACAACAGTTGGTGCGATTATTCGCAAATGGAAGAAACACAAAATAACTGTCAATCTCCCTCGGCCTGGGGCTCCATGCAAGATCTCACCTCGTGGAGTTGCAATGATCATGAGAACGGTGAGGAATCAGCCCAGAACTACACGGGAGGATCTTGTCAATGATCTCAAGGCAGCTGGGACCATAGTCACCAAGAAAACAATTGGTAACACACTATGCTGTGAAGGACTGAAATCCTGCAGCGCCCGCAAGGTCCCCCTGCTCAAGAAAGCACATATTCAGGGCCGTCTGAAGTTTGCCAATGAACATCTGAATGATTCAGAGGAGAACTGGGTGAAAGTGTTGTGGTCAGATGAGACCAAAATGGAGCTCTTTGCCATCAACTCAACTCGCCGTGTTTGGAGGAGGAGGAATGCTGCCTATGACCCCAAGAACACCATCCCCACCGTCAAACATGGAGGTGGAAACATTATGCTTTGGGGGTGTTATTCTGCTAAGGGGACAGGACAACTTCACCGTATCAAAGGGACGATGGACGGGGCCATGTACCGTCAAATTTTGGGTGAGAACCTCCTTCCCTCAGCCAGGGCATTGAAAATGGGTCGTGGATGGGTATTCCAGCATGACAATGACCCAAAACACACGGCCAAGGCAACAAAGGATGGGCTCAAGAAGAAGCACATTAAGGTCCTGGAGTGGCCTAGCCAGTCTCCAGACCTTAATCCCATAGAAAATCTGTGGAGGGAGCTGAAGGTTCGAGTTGCCAAACGTCAGCCTTGAAACCTTAATGACTTGGAGAAGATCTGCAAAGAGGAGTGGGACAAAATCCCTGACCTCTGTGATTGCCAACAAGGGTTTTGCCACCAAGTACTAAGTCATGTTTTGCAGAGGGGTCAAATACTTATTTCCCCCATTAAAATGCAAATCAATTTATAAAATTTTGACATGCGTTTTTCTGGATTATTTTTTTGTTATTCTGTCTCTCACTGTTCAAATAAACCTACCATTAAAATTATAGACTGATCATGTCTTTGTCAGTGGGAAAACATACAAAATCATGGCAGGAAGAGCACAGTGTTCCTGATGGATGGAACCAGATCTAATGCTGCAAATATCACTAATATAGATCTGGTTCCATCCATCAGGAACAATGTTAGTGATAGTAACAGTGTTAGATCTGGTTCCATCCATCAGGAACAATGTTAGTGATAGTAACAGTGTTAGATCTGGTTCCATCCATCAGGAACAATGTTAGTGATAGTAACAGTGTTAGATCTGGTTTAGTCATGCATGATTTCCTGTTTAATCCCCACAATGCTATATGGTAAAAGGATAACGGTATCCACCATGCTATACGGTAAAAGGATAACGGTATCCACCATGCTATATGGTAAAAGAATAACGGTATCCACCATGTTATACGGTAAAAGGATAATGGCATCCGCCAAGATTCCCTGTTGCCTAAATTGTTTTATGCATAATTATTATAATAAAAATGTTTAAATAGCACCCCCTTGTGTGCACATTCGGTAATATCGTATACCCCGGTATGGTACAGAAACGGTATAACAGTAAGAAAATCTGGATACCGCCCACTCTAAACATCTCTAAACATAATTAAATATGTCAAAGTAATTCAAGATGAATATATGATAGTAAATGTAGCACACTAGCTAGGTTCCAATTGGCGACAGAATTGTCATGCAAACATTCTAAAATCCACATTAAAAACAATATGCAACTTTTCCCACCAGAGAAGTTTCCATCAAATTGACATGATGCAGATAAAAGGCTGAGCGTGATGATGTAGAACACATGAAATGCCGTCGGTGGTTAAATTCCCACGTACCGAATAAACAATACAAGTTCAATGGGTTTCCATCACATTGCCAACTGGCGTTATATAGCGAGTGTGCCCACTCCGTTATTGGCACGTGCGCTCTCTGCCCGCTGTTGGCTAGAGAGACTGTATATCCTACATGATGAGATTATTATGGACACGAGTGAGATTCTTTTTTATTTTGTCAAAGCATCGATTATCATGTCACCAGAATAAGACCCTCAATATTTATTGGAAAGGAGCACCAAGCTCATCACCGTGCACTTTCACCACCCTGTGAAGCTCATCTGTAGCCTAATAAACTGCTATCCCGAGGAGTCGTAGTGGGAGGACGTCGTCGCCTGACTCCAACTTTACTTTGATATGATGTGTATTACATCAATATCTGCACATTAAAGCATTTCCACATTTCTTGCATAATTAAATTTTACAGACACAAAAAGATCCCACCTTGTCTAACATACTTTGTTTTGTCAACATTTGACCGTCAAATTTGCTGTTTGCATCAGGCCTGTCGTGACATATGTTATCAGATATGTACTCAACTCACATACCGTCCCGTGTCACTCAGTTGGTAGAGCATGGCGCTTGCAAAGCCAGGGTTGTGGGTTCGATTCCCACGGGGGACCAATATGAAAATATCCACACTCACTACTGTAAGTGGCTCTGGATAATGATCTAAAGGTTGAATGGAAACCTGGTTCTATTTACTCCTACTGTAACCATGGTGAGGGTAAAACTGCTCCCAAGAACAACTGACCCAGTCTGTGCAGTAGGTTGAACATTTGACGTCCCTACAATGAGGGAGGTAAGATTAGATAGATAGAAAGAGATTATTTGTGTGTGTGCGAGCACGCATGTACTCACAGTGAAGACTGTGACGTCCGTCCTGGTCCGTATCTCCTCCACTAAACCCAGTGGTTTTCCTGAAGGGAGGGGTATAGTCCCCAGCACTGAGAAGACTGGAGAGTCCAGGGTCCGTCTGACAGACCTGATGAATGGCTGGCTGAACAGCTCCATTTTACCAACCTCATCTATGATAAACAGCTGACGGTTGCTACTGCATGAAGACTCAAGCTAAACATAGAGATGGAGAGGTTAGAGACAACATCACTCAAAACAAAAAACAGACTGAATGGTTGATATACTGCTGCAGTTCTACTATCACTACTACCACTACTACTACTACTACTACCACCACTACCACTACTGCTACTACTGCTACTACTACTACTGCTACTGCTACTACTACTACTACTACTACTACTACTACTACTACTACTACTACTACGGCTTAGACCATGGTATACACTATATACACACACATACATAAAAGTATGTGGACACCCCTTCAAATTAGTGGATTCGGCTATTTCAGCCACACCCGTTGCTGACAGGTGTATAAAATCGAGCACACAGCCATGCAATGTCCATAGACAAACATTGGCAGTAGAATGGCCCGTACTGAAGAGCTCAGTGACTTTCAACGTGGCACCATCATAGGATGCCACCTTTCCAACAAGTCAGTTCGTCCAATGTCTGCCCTGCTAGAGCTGCCCCGGTCAACTGTAAGTGCTGTTATTGTGAAGTGGAAGCATCTAGGAGCAACAACGGCTCAGCCGCGAAGTGGTAGGCCAAGCTCACAAAACGCGACCACCAAGTGCTGAAATGCGTAGCGTGTAAAAATCGTCTGTCCTCGGTTGCAACCCTCACTACCGAGTTCCAAACTGCCTCTGGAAGCAACGTCAGCACAATAACTGTCGGGAGCTTCATGAAATGGGTTTCCATGGCCGAGCAGCCACATACAAGCCTAAGATCACCATGCGCAATGCCAAGCGTCGGCTGGAGTGGTGTAAAGCTCGCCACCATTGGACTCTGGAGCAGTGGAAGTTCTCTGGAGTGATGAGTCACACTTCACCATCTGGCAGTCCAAGGGACTAATCTGAGTTTGGCGGATGCCAGGAGAACGCTACCTGCCCCAATGCATAGTGTCAACTGTAAAGTTTGGTGGAGGAGGGATAATGGTCTGGGGCTGTTTTTCATGGTTCGGGCTAGGCCCCTTAGTTCCAGTGAACCCCGACTGCGAGCCAGGCCTAATCACCCAACATCAGTGCCCCACACCTCACTAATGCTCTTGTGGCTGAACGGAAGCAAGTCCCCACAGCAATGTTCCAACATCTAGTGGAAAGCCTTCCCAGAAGAGTGGAGGCTGTTATAGCAGCAAAGGGGGGACCAACGCCATATTAATGCCCATGATTTTGGAATGAGATGTTTGACGAGCAGGTGTCCACATACTTCTGGTCATGTAGTGTAGGTGAGCAGCCCAGCCACGCATGTGTGCAACTGTGCAAGGCTGCAGGAACACCAGGCTCATTGATAGGTTATCAATCAGAACCTGACAGCCAGGCAGCTCCATGAACAGTAAAAACGTAATGCTGGAATTGCCATCAAGTGAGAATATCACAGCCCTGACATGAGGAAAAACACTGATCACAGCCCTGACATATGAGGAAAAACATGGATCACAGCCCTGACATATGAGGAAAAACATGGATCACAGCCCTGACATATGAGGAAAAACACTGATCACAGCCCTGACATATGAGGAAAAACATGGATCACAGCCCTGACATATGAGGAAAAACATGGATCACAGCCCTGACATATGAGGAAAAACACTGATCACAGCCCTGACATATGAGGAAAAACATGGATCACAGCCCTGACATATGAGGAAAAACACTGATCACAGCCCTGACATATGAGGAAAAACATGGATCACAGCCCTGACATATGAGGAAAAACACTGATCACAGCCCTGACATGAGGAAAAACATGGATCACAGCCCTGACATATGAGGAAAAACACTGATCACAGCCCTGACATATGAGGAAAAACACTGATCACAGCCCTGACATATGAGGAAAAACATGGATCACAGCCCTGACATATGAGGAAAAACACTGCTCTGCTAAATAGTGCAATAATAACGTACGTTTCTGAAGAGAGGTAGAGCCAGGTTCTCAAACGAAGGTACATCCACTACATACTGTCCGACAGTGTACTGCTTCCCTCCATGTGAAGCTACAGACTTCTCTCTGAACAGAACAAAGACAGCAAAGAAAAACACATGACTTAACATGTAGGGGCCAGTTTCCCAGACGAAGCCTAGTCCTGGACTACAGAGTAAACAATTGAGAATTTTAAAAATGCTTTTTGGTCCTAAACTAGGCTTCATCTGTCTGGGAAACAGGCCCTTACAGAAATAGGTCGACCATTTTGGTTGATTACGTAAAAAATATTGACACCTGACTGAAGCCTACCTGACTCTGGACAAGAGCCCCCGCTGTCCGGTCACAGTGACAACGTCGAAACCGACCCTGCGCCCCCCCTCCCTGACCTCCTGGGTGTAGAAGCCCTCCACAGACACACCTGAAGACACGATGATGTCACAGGCCTTCTGGACCAGGGTGGTCTTCCCCACACCTTCACAATAGAAGAGGGTCATGGCATATCCAAAATGAAGCCGTTTGTCTTGTTGGGGCCTTCAAACCATGACTATCAACAGAAATGTAACATTTTATCATAATGCAAAGTATTGACTCATGAACAGAGTTGTTATGTTATTATTTGGCGGAGGTCACACCCATTCACTTACGGAGGAACTGCCTGGGACACACGGTGGTCACTAGTTAACACAGCCACAAAGTCATAACTCTGAATAAAACCCTCCCTAACCATACTGCTAACCTTATGCCTAACCATACTGCTAACCTTATGCCTAACCTTAAATGAAGAACAAAAAGCAAACCTTTGTAGCCAACTTTGAGGCTTTGGAATCTGACCGTTATCCAGTGGAAACCGGGATACACCAGAGAGGAAGAGGCGAAGAGAGAGGGTTTACTACACCCAAAATATGTCCATGTTAAGCAGATCATTAAGTATTAAGCAAGTGAGGGGATTTTGTATGGGGGGCAATGAGTGCCAAATTTAGCCAAATTGAAACTTATTAGCCATTTCAATACTTGAGGCGTATTTGATCTAATATAAGTTGCGTAATGCTGAGGTTGTTACGAGTGTAGGCTACGGATATAAGTGTGATGCACGTGACATCCAGGCAACTTTGAGAAAAAACACAGAGTTGTCCCTGTTGAAAATCGAGACGTCTATGAATATTCATTAGGCTAGCAACTCGCTCGCCATTGAGTACAATAAAGGCGAATGTCAACGAATATTCAAAAAAAAGTATTCAAATAACGAGATGCATGCACCAATCAAAAGACAGGAATAGGTGTGAGCTTGACAGCCCGGTGTTCAGCTCTGTGGACAACAAAGCCCATTGTTAATCAGCTCCTCAGTTCATCCAACGATTGTCTATTATATTGACAAGACTTGATTGACCACTCTAACAATGGAAATACATGTCCTCAAAGATGGAAGGCAGGCGGGAGGAGGAGAGATCAGGTGGGACCATTCTAGCCAATGAGAGGGCAGATACACACATGAACAGGCCATTGAGATAGATAGAGGACTCATCTTTGTATCTATGGCAGTATAGCGTCTGTGACAGCATGAGGACCCAATTCCTAGGAATCCCCATCCAGCGGACTACTTTCAAATGGTGGACGCACTCAATGGCCATGCTAAAACCGGTTATATCCATGATGAGTCCCCTACCAATTTCTATGCAATAGGCACAACTTTGATAAGGTTATATTATATTTTTTTTAGTTGTCGAAATGCCACGTGCGTCCACTTATAGCAGTGCATTCGTAACAAGTGAACCACTACAAAACGTATATTAGATCTAATAAGCCTCACGTATCAAATTAGCAATTCAACTTTTTGTTGACCAAATTTCACACTCATCAACCTCCACACAAACATTCCTCAATTCGTGGGCTTATTTTTGGTGGAGCCAAACCTCTTGCCTCGCCTCTTCCTCTCTGTTATCTCCAATAGGGTCTGGCTCCAGCAGATACCTTCTCACGCCACAGACGCTGTGAGGCATATGAGATGAGACACGAATAGTGCCATAGAGGATGGTGTGTTACCACACAAAAACAGCACGGGTGGTGAAATTACATTTATAATTAGATGCGAGGTACTAGCTAGCGTGTACTAGCGTATACTAGAACTAGTGTGTACTAGCTAGCGTGGTACTAGAGCTAGTGTGTGCTAGCTAGCTAATGTAGTACTAGAGCTAGTGTGTACTAGCTAGCTAATGTAGTACTAGAGCTAGTGTGTGCTAGCTAGCTAATGTAGTACTAGAGCTAGTGTGTGCTAGCTAGCTAATGTATTACTAGAGCTAGTGTGTGCTAGCTAGCTAATGTAGTACTAGAGCTAGTGTGTACTAGCTAGCTAATGTATTACTAGAGCTAGTGTGTGCTAGCTAGCTAATGTAGTACTAGAGCTAGTGTGTACTAGCTAGCTAATGTAGTACTAGAGCTAGGGTGTACTAGCTAGCTAATGTAGTACTAGAGCTAGGGTGTACTAGCTAGCTAATGTAGTACTAGAGCTAGTGTGTACTAGCTAGCTAATGTAGTACTAGAGCTAGTGTGTACTAGCTAGCTAATGTAGTACTAGAGCTAGTGTGTACTAGCTAGCTAATGTAGTACTCGAGCTAGTGTGTACTAGCTAGCTAATGTAGTACTCGAGCTAGTGTGTACTAGCTAGCTAATGTAGTACTCGAGCTAGTGTGTACTAGCTAGCTAATGTAGTACTAGAGCTAGTGTGTACTAGCTAGCTAATGTAGTACTAGAGCTAGTGTGTACTAGCTAGCTAATGTAGTACTAGAGCTAGTGTGTACTAGCTAGCTAATGTAGTACTCGAGCTAGTGTGTACTAGCTAGCTAATGTAGTACTAGAGCTAGTGTGTACTAGCTAGCTAATGTAGTACTTGAGCTAGTGTGTACTAGCTAGCTAATGTAGTACTAGAGCTAGTGTGTACTAGCTAGCTAATGTAGTACTAGAGCTAGTGTGTACTAGCTAGCTAATGTAGTACTAGAGCTAGTGTGTACTAGCTAGCTAATGTAGTACTCGAGCTAGTGTGTACTAGCGTATACTAGACATAGCATCTGGATATGTGTGCAACAAAGTATATCATTCACCTTCTGCTACCATTTCTGTCAAACCGTCTATACATACAGTTTCACGCATACGTTCGATAAATCCAACCTCTGCACCACAGACCGCAACGCAACCGCCTATCCAACACCATGCTGGAAGGAAACGCAACCGCCTCTCCAACACCATGCTGGAAGGAAACGCAACCGCCTCTCCAACACCATGCTGGAAGGAAACGCAGCCGCCTCTCCAACACCATGCTGGAAGGAAACGCAGCCACCTCTCCAACACCATGCTGGAAGGAAACGCAACCGCCTCTCCAACACCATGCTGGAAGGAAACGCAGCCGCCTCTCCAACACCATGCTGGAAGGAAACGCAACCGCCTCTCCAACACCATGCTGGAAGGAAACGCAGCCGCCTCTCCAACACCATGCTGGAAGGAAACGCAGCCCCTCTCCAACACCATGCTGGAAGGAAACGCAGCCGCCTCTCCAACACCATGCTGGAAGGAAACGCACCGCCTCTCCAACACCATGCTGGAAGGAAACGCAGCCGCCTCTCCAACACCATGCTGGAAGGAAACGCAACCGCCTCTCCAACACCATGCTGGAAGGAAACGCAACCGCCTCTCCAACACCATGCTGGAAGGAAACGCACCGCCTCTCCAACACCATGCTGGAAGGAAACGCAACCGCCTCTCCAACACCATGCTGGAAGGAAACGCAGCCGCCTCTCCAACACCATGCTGGAAGGAAACGCAGCCACCTCTCCAACACCATGCTGGAAGGAAACGCAGCCGCCTCTCCAACACCATGCTGGAAGGAAACGCAGCCGCCTCTCCAACACCATGCTGGAAGGAAACGCAGCCACCTCTCCAACACCATGCTGGAAGGAAACGCAACCGCCTCTCCAACACCATGCTGGAAGGAAACGCAGCCGCCTCTCCAACACCATGCTGGAAGGAAACGCAACCGCCTCTCCAACACCATGCTGGAAGGAAACGCAGCGCTCAAGTGGATATGAATGTACCGCTGGTGAACCAAAATGCAAAAACACTGTCGGTGTGACCGAGGCGTCAGATAACATTGTAGCTCGCTAACTTTCGAAAATGTGCACGGTCAGAGTCGACCTGCTACTTTCAAAATAAATCAGGAGACTCAAGCTTCAGTTTACAAATTGTTTTAGCTATTAGCTGAACTACTGCTGTTAGCTACATTGTATTGTGTGGCATCATTTCTGAAACTAGCGTAGCTAGTTAGCTAGCAGCAGTCACAACTTCACAGCGTTTCTGAACAACTAAACCGTGCCATGCGTTTCAAGAAGTTTGTTTTATAGTTACCCGGAGGTCCTGTTAGGAAAACGTGTTTGATCATTTCTGATTAAATGTTCTGTTTACACCGTTCACTACATTGCTTCTCCTCACATCCGTACACATGGGAGCCGCAGATTGAAGTGGCAGGACTCGGTGAGGGGATTGGGTTAATGCCCCGGGGAACCGGGTTAGCGTTGATTGCATTCGATTTGGAACCGGGCTACCTCCCGGTGTGAGCCAGCTACGCCGTTCTGGCCGACGGTCAAATCGGCTCAAAACAAAAGTGACATAGATTAAGCACTTGGAGTATGATTAGTATGCTGTGTTTTTACATGCAAAAGTGATTGATTTTGATACAAATGCTTTATCTGCCTTTCCAATGAAAACTACTTTGAAAATTCGAACATATATTTTATTGAAAAGAGATGTATGTTTCTGAACAATGCCCCATGCTGCATTGTTGACAGATTACCGTTCGATATGAGCAGGGCTCGCCACCCTCACTGATTTCACCCGGTCGCTCATGTGATGGGCCATAGTTCGGTTCAACCCGGGGAAGTTTAATCGAATCCCCTTATTGACATTCATTGGGCAGGACCAGCACAACCCGTAGAAAGGAGCAGAGAGAAGGATCAATCAATACTAATTGGAAGGGGTCTGTGTGAATGTGAATCCAATCCTCAAAACCAGGGGTATTCAACTGGGGGTCCGCGGCCAGGTACTGCAGGAGGTCCGAGAAAATCTTGTAAAAAATAAAACATCTTTAAAAAAGTGGAGAAAAAAAATATATCGCTAGCATACCTTCAGTAGAAAAGAGGAGAATATCTTATTTCTAATGACGTGAACTTTCTCAACTCCTAATATTGAATTACACTCAATAGCTAGGTTTCCATCCAATTGGCAACCGATTTTCATGCAAATATTAAAGTCATGTTAAACACTATTATTGCACACAGTGAGTCCATGCAATTTATTATGTGACTTGTTAAGCCAATTTTTACTCCTGAATTTATTTAGGCTTGCCATAACAAAATGATTGAATACTTATTGACTCAATACATTTCAGCTTTTAATTAATTTGTAAATATTTCTAAAAACATAATTCCACGTTCACATTATGGGGTAGTGACACAGAATCCCAATTTAATCCATTTTAAATTCAGGCTGTCACATAACAAAATGTGAAAAAGTCAAGCCTGGTGAATACTTTCTGAAGGAACTGTATATCAATATTTGCGCATAAAGGCGTTTCCACCTCTATTTCTTACATAATTAATTTTACAGACACAAAAAGATCCCACCTTGTCTATCGTATTTAGTTTAGTCAACATTTGGTAATTTTACCGTCACCCACAGTGAACGTGTCATAATACCCATACAACCTAGCGGTCAAACACGGAAATGGTTCCAATCATTTTATTGTGGATTTTAGAAACACTTCAAATAAGGTCTGTGTTTTGTGTAGGCTTACCCTGGCGTCACGTTTTGATAACCGTGTAAATCTCTCTCGGACAGGATGACTTTTATCAATATATTCGGGCTCTATTTAGCGCCAAAGTAGACATCATGAAAGACTACAAATCCCTGCAGGCTCCTGCATCTGACACATTTGCTGTCAGCTAGCTTGCTACTAGCTACCTTCATCCAAAACGAAATATATGTTGAACATTTTAATTTAGTGTTCCATATTTTAACTGTCTTATTTATGCATTTGGTCTTGTCTTGTTCAGAATACTATCCTAGTAGCAGTCAGATACTGTATTTATAATGTTCCATGAATACTAGTCTGCAAAGAAGCTATATAGCTAGCTACCTACCTTGATGATATTAGCAACATAGCCTTATTTTACCAGATCCTCTTCTCCTTTAGCCGGTCTATATTTAATCCCTTATCATTTCTACCAACTATATGAACAAGGTCAAATCTATTTAAATCCATGGTGTCAGAATGCACTGCTGTATTAAAGCAATTCAGAACTAACTTCTTGACATGTTTTGTAGCAGATTCAAAGCCAGATTAACTCATTGCAGGATGTATCCATAATCATATTTATTTGACAAGAATGCACCTAGTCACCCATCAATCACGTCAAACACCTGAACTCCAGTAAACAATGCATACATATGCCCTTTATACATACCATAACATATAAACATCTGAATTTAAGTAAAAATTAAATTATTGAATCATCAATGCCAGAAACCTGGGACATAGAAGAGCACCATATGAACTATTATTACTATCAGAGAGGGCACAGATTCTTCTGCTTTTCCTATTGGGATTTTGGTGAGTTACAAATGGAAAAACCTGGATGTGTAAGGTAGGTTTTATATAAAATATTAGGTCAACTCCAGCAGAATGAGAAACACACTTACGACTCAAAACAAGGAAGCCATGCTTAAAATGCAGCTATATCAACACCCTTCTTGTCAATTTAACAGGTCCATGTTGCTGCTGTCAACTGTGAGCAACATATTTACCACAGCATTCAGTCTCAACCCCAGAGGACAGCATTACACAGGTGGAAAAAAGGTAGCAAAAACAGTACACAACAGTTTTAAACGTGTTACTGAGTCTAGATGTTATCACATCAGGAGAAGAACACGTAAAGGAAGAAGCATAGGGAAAATGGGTGAAGGTAGGGTGGGTTTATAGAGATAAGATAGAGAGAAGGTAGGGTGGGTTTATAGATATAAGATGGAGAGAAGGTAGGGTGGGTTTATAGAGATAAGATGGAGTGAAGATAGGGTGGGTTTATAGAGATAAGATGGAGAGAAGGTAGGGTGGGTTTATAGAGATAAGATGGAGAGAAGGTAGGGTGGGTTTATAGAGAAGATGGAGTGAAGGTAGGGTGGGTTTATAGAGAAGATGGAGTGAAGGTAGGGTGGGTCTATAGAGATAAGATGGAGTGAAGGTAGGGTGGGTTTATAGAGATAAGATGGAGTGAAGGTAGGGTGGGTTTATAGAGATAAGATGAAGTGAAGGTAGGGTGGGTTTATAGAGATAAGATGGGGTGAAGGTAGGGTGGGTTTATAGATATAATATGGAATGAAGGTATGGTGGGTTTATAGAGATTAAGATGGAGAGAAGGTAGGGTGGGTTATAGAGAAGATGGAGTGAAGGTAGGGTGGGTTTATATAGATAAGATGGAGTGAAGGTAGGGTGGGTTTATAGAGATAAGATGGAGTGAAGGTAGGGGGGGTTTATAGAGATAAGAAGGAGAGAAGGTAGGGTGGGTTTATAGAGATCAAATGGAGTGAAGGTAGGGTGGGTTTATAGAGATAAGATGGAGTGAAGGTAGGGTGGGTTCATAGAGATAAGATGGAGAGAAGGTAGGGTGGGTTTATAGAGATAAGATGGAGTGAAGGTAGGGTGGGTTTATAGAGATAAGATGGAGTGAAGGTAGGGTGGGTTTATAGAGATAAGATGGAGTGAAGGTAGGGTGGGTTTATAGAGAACATGGAGAGAAGGTAGGGTGGGTTTATAGAGATAAGATGGAGTGAAGGTAGGGTGGGTTTATAGAGATAAGATGGAGAGAAGGTAGGGTGGGTTTATAGAGATAAGATGGAGTGAAGGTAGGGTGGGTTTATAGAGATAGGATGGAGTGAAGGTTAGGGTGGGTTTATAGATATAAGATGGAGTGAAGGTAGGGTGGGTTTATAGAGAACATGGAGAGAAGGTAGGGTAGGTTTATAGAGATAAGATGGAGTGAAGGTAGGGTGGGTTTATAGAGATAAGATGGAGAGAAGGTATGGTGGGTTTATAGAGATAAGATGGAGTGAAGGTAGGGTGGGTTTATAGAGATAAGACGGAGTGAAGGTAGGGTGGGGTTATAGGGAAAAGATGGAGAGAAGTTAGGGTGGGTTTATAGAGATATGATGGAGTGAAAGTAGGGTGGGTTTATAGAGATAAGATGGAGTGAAGGTATGGTGGGTTTATAGAGATAAGATGGAGAGAAGGTAGGGTGGGTTTATAGAGATAAGATGGAGAGAAGGTAGGGTGGGTTTATAGAGATAAGATGGAGTGAAGGTATGGTGGGTTTATAGAGAACATGAAAAGAAGGTAGGGTGGGTTTATAGAGATAAGATGGAGTGAAGGTAGGGTGGGTTTATGGAGATAAGATGGAGAGAAGGTAGGGTGGGTTTATAGAGATAACATGGAGTGAAGGTAGGTGTGGGGTTTATAGAGATAAGATGGAGTGAAGGTAGGGTGGGTTATAGAGATAAGATGGAGAGAAGGTTAGGGTGGGTTTATGGAGATAAGATGGAGAAAAGGTTTAGGGTGGGTTATAGAGATAATATGGAGTGAAGGTAGGGGTGGGTTTTATAGAGAACATGGAGAGAAGGTAGAGTGGGTTTTATAGAGATAAGATGGAGTGAAGGTCGGTGGGGTCATAGAGATAAGATGGAGATAAGTTAGGGTGGGTTTATAGAGATAAGATGGAGTGAAGTTAGGGTGGGTTATAGAGATAAGATGGAGTGTCGGTAGGGTGGGTTTCATAGAGATAGAGATGGAGAGAAGGTATAGGGTGGGTTATAGAGATAAGAGTAGGAGTGAAGTTAGGGTGGGTTTAATAGAGATAAGATGGAGGTGAAGGTTAGGGGGGGTTTATAGGAGTAAGATGGGGTGAAGGGTAGGGTGGGTTTATAGAGATAAGATGGAGTGAGGTAGGGTGGGTTAGTTTAGTGGTTTTAGAGATAAGATGGAGTGAAGTAGGGTGGGTTTATAGAGATAAGATGGAGGAAGAGTAGGGTGGGTTTATAGAGATAAGATGGAGGAAGGTAGGGTGGGTGTTATAGAGAAATGGAGTGAAGGTAGGTGGGTTTATAGAGATAAGATGGAGTGAAGGTAGGGTGGGTTTATGAGATAAGATGGAGAGAAGGTAGGGTGGGTTTATAGAGTAAGGATGGAGAGAAGGTAGGGTGGGTTTATAGAGAAACTATGGAGTGAAGGTAGGTGGGTTTATAGAGATAAGATGGAGTGAAGGTAGGGTGGGTTTATGAGATAAGATGGAGGAAGGTAGGTGGGTTATAGAGATAAGATAAGATGGAGAGAAGGTAGGGTGGGTTTATAGAGATAAATGGAGGAAGGTAGGGTGGTTTATAGAGATAAGATGGAGTGAAGGTAGGGTGGGTTTATAGAGATAAGATGGAGTGAAGGTAGGGTGGGTTTATAGA